TCAATATTCACCAATATTCGAAATCGCCAAGTCTCACCTCATTGGAGAAGGTGTTGACTGGAACACCAAAAGCGCGGGCGAGACCAAAATCTCCAATCTTGAGTTCTCCTTTCCTATTGATGAGAAGCTACAAAATAAATCAGACATGGTGGAACCCAGTTGACAATGGGGATGCGAACATTTTGAGGCTTCAAGTCCCGATGGAGAACCCTGTTTTCGTGACAAAATGCAACACCCTTACAGAGTTGGTGCATAAAGCTCCGGACCGTGTTAGGCTCGAGGGCACCGCGTTTGCCATGAGTGTCCATGTAGCGCTTGAGATCTTGTTCACAAAATTCAAAGATCAAGACCAATTTTTGCTCTGTATGGACAACATCGTGCAAGCGGACAATATTCGGGTGCCGGAGTTCCTTCATGAGAGAAATCTCTCGGATCGCAGTGGATGGTGTTCCTTCTTCCGCATCAAGGTGGATTTCCTTGAGCGCAACAATCTCGTTATTCGTGCGTGAACGTCCCTTTGAGTAGATAAGTAAGCTGGTGTGTCCTAGACTCCCCTTGGAGAAACGCCGAGACCGACCTTGTATACGGTGGCATACGTCCCCTCGCCCAACTTCTCAAGCTGTTCAAAGATAGATCAAAGTTAGCCATCTCGTTCTCTAGGTGTTCACAACGAGGCGCTGTAATTACCTGGATATAATTCATGGCCATGGTTGACTCGGCGCCTTACGTTGGCTTTGGATGGTGCTTTCCAAGAGGTGATCTACCTGTAGATTCTAAAAGAAAGAAGACGAGATCGCTATAGATGCGTGTGCTCGAAACTAACGAGTCGTCGGAACTGTGGATGGTGATGAGGTCGGGGTCAAAAAGTCGGGATGAAATGGTTCCGAATTTGGCAGGCCTAATAAGGCAAACAACAGTGGTGGCGAGTCCCTTTCAAAAAAACAGAGTTGACATGGGCGCACATTCAGTCTTACTCTTCAACGCTGTGTAGATCACTACTTTGTTTTTAGATATTCAATAAGAGGAACAAGAAGTAACGGTTTGGGTGGTATACACGATTAGACATCTCTACGGAGAGTCGCTTTGGCCGAAGGAATTTTCAGGACACGGTCACGACCGTCTCCTTCAAAGAGAATCAAATTTATGGGTGCGTGATGAGAATGGAAAGTATCGAGGTTTGCCCAATAAGGCCAGCAACCTGCTGTGTCGCGCCCTACGGGGGCTCTATAAATCATCAGACGGGCGTGAGCCAGGAAAAGAGGTGAGCAACGATAATATTGTCATACCTAAACTCATCGAGCCTTCCAGTGGACCAGAGTGGTATGCTTCCATGTTTGTATAGCTTGATATAGTCGTCTCCTCCCACAATCCATTTTGTTATCCAAAGCTCCCCTTGGTTAGTTGTTAGCCTAGTTACGACGAAGCTTTATTGACACTATTCTAGCGCTTGATTTACTTGACCGTCTCCTAAAGTTTGATCCTGCTCGTCGCATGAGCTGCCAAGATGCCCTGTCTCATCAATACTTTATGATTCAGTCCCAGCACCCTCTATATTTGCACGCGCCAGTATCGAGCGGGCTTCCCAGTGGACTTCCTCCCCAGCCAGTACTGTATGATCCCGTAGTACAGGCGACAGCACAAGCGCACGCAGCCTTTACCCAGCAGACTGCGTATCTCTATCAACAACAACAGCAAGTAGCACAACAGCAGGCGGCGCAAGCACAAGCAGCTCAAGCCGCTGCCCACGGTATGCACCCGCAACACCACCTTCAGCACAGTGGCGCTGCACCAATGACAGGCGTGATGCCCGCCCCGTCTGGAACACAGCACGGGTACATGCAACCTAACCCATACATGAACATGCCTTATCAAAAGCGCTAGTGTATGGAACCAGGAGCAGTCTTGTTGCCCGAATGACCCGTTAGGCACCCCCAAAGCTTGTTACATGCGAGGCGTCTTCCACTTCTTGTCACATACCTTAAGGACATTTTCCCCTCTTCTGGTGCTATTTTAATCCCATGACCACCATTCATCCAGTGTTCGAGTGTAATGCATTTCTTGTTTATTAGCCCACCGACAATTCGGTACTGAAAATACCAATATAGTGTAATTGGCTGCATTATGATGTTGAATCGACGCTCCTGTGCTATCCAGATGCTTGGATAAGCCATATTAATGAAAGGCGAGTGATCCGGGAGAAGGTTTACCCGTCCCACTAGCCTGGATCAGGCGTTAAGGTTGGCAGAGACCCCAGACGGAGCCGAGTCTGAAACCGGTGTGTAGAGGGTGACATTGCTACTGCTATACGCGAATAGGAATGGCTTACATCAGCCTGCTATCAGCTATATCATATCTCGTGTCTTATTCTCTTTGCCCCAGCAAACTAGAATTTGAAGTTTGAATGGAGCCCAGCGGCAACTCACGGGTGGGAGTCGCTGACGGCTTTCAACTGGAGGATTCGGATGCGATAGTTTGACATTTCACCTCCGAATTCCTCGCCTAGTCCCCATAACGCATGTCACCTCAAAAAGGTTCTAGCTGACATGGATATAATATTAGCAGCTGCTCGTCTATATAGTATCCCTTCTGAGACCGATTCCCGTTCTTCGCTCTTATTTTTCGCCAGGATAAGCGACACAAGAGAGCTCGTTCCGCTCTCTTTCTCTCAATAAATCGTCTCAGATTGACGACGACGATCTCCATGTCCAGAGATGGACTTTGGCTCCGGTAATGTTTCTGGAAACAACGCGACGGTAGACGACTTTGGAGGTGTTCCGACCGGATTGGAATATGATCTCGATACTACCATAGGACTTTATGCATCTCATGTTGGAGTAAAATGTGCCTTTGGTGAGTCCTTTTTTTCCATCGCT